ATGATTAAAACATTTTATTCTGCTATTCGTTATTATATCCAGGTTATTCCTTGGAGCTTTCAAAATCAAGTAACACAAGTAAATCATAAAAACTTTCACAAGATGTGTTTATGGTAGATGTACACTATCTAGATTTGTTAGTTGCATTAAATAATTAGGACCGAGAATCATTCTGCATTATTAACTGTGATAATCATCTCATGAACACAATAAGATTCATATTATCCACCTGATTCTACAGTGGGTATGGTATCTGATAACGCAAATTGGAACTGTTATGGTGGGGATATTGAACACGTTGCTTGGATCAAGCTTTCTCTCATTTTTCACGAATGATTTATCATTATGTACTGCCCATATCAACTTGAAATGTAATGTTTTCTGCACCTCTTCTTTTTAAAAGGTTTTTCAAGAAGCTCTGAACTTATTCAGCTTCAATATGAATGAAACTGGATTTATCGCGTTTCTGCCATCCTAACATTTGTCGCGTAGATTAGTTTGGGTCATTTGTGTTAGGCTACAAGTTGCTCCAGATATGGTTTTTACTTATTTCCTGATACTTCTCAAGTCGAACAAAAAGCTTTAGGTGTATCTGGATGGCTTCTGGGGCAATACCTCCTATGCACAAACCGCATATTACTGTATAGGCATTAGTGTTCAACTTATTCATGCGCTTTATTATTATTATATCCATTTTTATTCATGAAAGCCGATTTGCGGCTTTCCTCACATTTATCTTGCTATTTTTTTCTTCATTATTCATTAAAGACCACTTAGGAATATAGAATATGGTGTTTCTCGGGGTATTGACTTTAAGCTGGTCAGCAACGTCGTAAATTTCGACTTCCCAGTTACTCCTTCATTATATGTACATCGAGTTGGTCGAACTGCTAGAGTGGATCAAATGGGCACCGCCCTCTCTTTAGTGAATCAAGCGGAAGCACCTTTATTAACACAAGTTGAACGACTTCTAGCTGCTTCTTCTCATAAATCTGCTGAGCAACAAACTGGTAATTGTTTTTGTTGGTACTATATTTTTCCAGAAATAGGATTAATTGCTCAGCAGTCCTTTTTATTTACCGATCGTTGTTTGCTAGGTTCATCATGTCGATTCTTTCATTTTAAAATATTAGATGGACTAAATGTTCTGGATAAAACGAGGAAACCTTTGGGGGACAAAACAAAGTTAAATTCATTTGAATCTTGAGACCTTCATAATTCATTGTGAGAAATTAAGCTATCAGTCATTAAGAGCCTTAGGTGACTCAAAGCGAGTTGAATTCCTATCCAATACCTACTCATCATTTTAAAGCGTACTCATCTAAGGTTCAATATTTTAATCGTAAAAGATACATTAAAATAATTGAGGAAGTGGGACATTCAAATAGTGTATATGACGTAAATAGCACTCCATGATGATGCATCATTTTAGGGAATTATAAGATGCCATTAAGGTCTGATTGTTACCATTTTTGTATGCATCTGGTAACTTATGTGTGGAGGACTTGCCGACGTTTATATAGAAGGTGATCTTCATGGGAAACCTTGTAGAAGTCAGTGGGTCAAAAAGTCATAACTGACACGACATCACATAAACTGATCTGGGGTTATGTAGAAGCCAACATAAGGGAATGTATAGAAATC